TGTTCACTGCTGTGTGTGTGCACTTAGGATGGGTTAAATGCAGAGCACTAATTCCAAGTATGGGTAACCATACTTGGCCACATGTCACTTCACTTTCAAAATGAAAACAAAATAATGCAACTCAGAATATGATGCAAACCTGCAATAATTAAATATGTTAAATAACTCAAATGTATCTAATCCCATTTTATTAACCAATATCTTTGCTGCTGACCTTTGATGATCCAGTTCAACCGTACTAATAATCACAAATTACTCTAGACAAACATTTGTGTCTTTTTTTTATTGCTGAAGTGTGTTGAAATTTCTTCTTCTGCATTCTACTGTATGGATGTAAATTTACTTTCCCTTCAACCTGATGCTTATTCATTTCACTTTTGGTGTGAAAAGGGTTTTATATTTGCCAAAAATATAACTTTTTTATTTTAAAAACAAACAAGCAAGCCCTGTCCAGATTTAAAAAGTAACGTAATGCATTACTTTCCATAAAAAGTAACTAAGTAACGTAATTAGTTACTTTTTTATGGAGTAACGCAATATTGTAATGCATTACTTTTAAAAGTAACTTTCCCCAACACTGGTCTTTGGTATAACTTATCGCTGTAATACCGATTTTGTTATTTTTGAATTTAGGTTATTTGTTACTGAACCCACTCCCGACAAGACCCGCCCACTGAGGCTCGTACTTCTAATTGACATGTAAACTGGCCAACCAGCGATAAAAAGTTACAGCAGCTGCTTCAGGTGTCTGTATAACCAAAGTCCCTTTATTCTATAGTCTTTGGCAGTGTTGGGGGTAACACATTACAAGTAACGTGAGTTACTCTATTTCACTAAAGAAAATGGTTCAAAACAAAGCCATGTTGAGCGTCTCTGCAGCAGCACACAGCGGTGTTTCCTTACTGAATGAATTTGCGTTTTGGGAGATTGAATGATTCACTGATCCATTCATAAAAACGGTTTCTTACTTCGTTCCTGAATGAATCAGTCGTTTTGAAAGAATCGATTGAATAAATGACTCAGTGACTCACTTATTAGGACAGTGGTTTGCCGCCACCTACTGGTAATTTTAGTTTCACATTTAAAAGTATCATTCTATTTTTTTTCTAGCATTTTTATTTCTATATAGCCGTATTTATATTTAAAACATTAATCTCATAATATTATTTATGCACTTTGTAAGTGCAGTGTAATGTACAAGTGTTAGAAATAAAAAAAAAAAGTGTATAGAACCCTGCATGTTTAATTAGGCTTATACTTGGCTTTTTTTTTAAGCCACTTACTCAATGTAAATATATATATATATATATATTGCTGTGTGCTAATCTTAACAACCAGTCCTGGTTAAAAATGTTACTAATGTTCTGTTCCTGTAAATAATTGTGTGTTTATTCAGGTTTGGAGACTGATGGGATTTACAGAGTCAGCGGGAATCTGGCCGTCATTCAGAAACTGCGCTTCGCTGTCAATCATGGTGAGAGAGAGTCGATATCACATCCTCTAAATATCATACTCATAACCATCATTCAGTGCAATTAAAGCAACATGAAATCAAAACAGAATGCATGTCCTGGTCTTACTGTGAATGATTCGTGGCAACTAGCAGCAATACGTTTTGTGAGATTATTGTTATTTACAAACAATAAACATGACATAAACAATCAAATTGAATTAGTGCTGTCAAACAATTAATTGCGATTAATTGCATTATAATAAATATACACAGTACACACACATATATTTTGTAAACAAAAACGTTTATTTTGGATGCGATTAATCGTTTGACAGCACTAGAAATAATTTAATTATTTGAAAAATGCAAGAGATGCTTTTAATCTGGGACCAAATTGCTGGTTTTTAGTTACTGATAAATGTACATTTCCCATAATTTAATATTAAAAAATAATTTTTTCCACAGTAACTATGGTAACAGGTTTGAATGGTTCAATACTTCATTGTGTAAAAATGGAGAAAACCCACTGAGATGAATGACTTTCATGCTGTTGAAAAGACCCTAATGATGTAATTTCCTCTGTGTTACAAGTTTAAGGAATTGTACACTTTATGTAATTGGAGGAAACTGAGGTTTTAGGCAGTTAATCTTGTTACATTTTTGTACTACAGTGAACTGATGATTAATTCATTTATTGATCAGATGATGTGCAGATGTGATGCAATGTAAGATTAGGGTCAAAAAGTCAGAATTATGGAGTTGCAGAAAACACTTAGAGAAGAGCGGCCTGTCATGTGACGTAAGAATGATGTCATCAGACGTGTTAGCGTGTGTGTGTGTGTGTGTGTGTGTGTG